GAGAGAGAGAGAGAGAGAGAGAGAGAGAGAGAGAGAGAGAGAGAGAGAGAGAGAGAGAGAGAGAGATGAGCGATACAAGATTGGCTGTTACCTACCTGTGAAGTTGCTGTGCAGCCCACGAAGAAGAAAGACAACGGCCATAGCCACAGAGCCGGTACCACAGAGTGACGAAGTAGGAGGGAGAAGGACAGAGGGGGAGAGACCAAGCAGGGAGAGAAGCGGCCATAGCTAGGAGGTGAAGAGGAGGCCGACAAAAAAAAAAAAAAAAAAAAAAAAAAAGAGGAAGAAGAAGACAGCAGGGGAAACGAGGCGAGGGAGGCAAGGAAGAAGAAGGGGATTGGCGAGGAAGAAGATCCGGCAGCCATAGCTGACCGGGGAGTTGACCGAGAGGGTTGACCGGAGTTGACCGAAGTTGACCGAGGGTCATAGCAGCGTTGACCAGCGTTGACCAAGGTCGTTGACCAAGGCGTTGACCAAGCTTGAGTTGGTAACATCTCGCCAAGCCCTTAGCCTGAGTCAAGTCCGTCTGTCTATTCTTTCTGCATCGCTAGAACTCTGTGGATGAAGGATAGGGCCTTGCTGCCAAACCTGCACGAGACTTAGTAGGACTAATCTCTACTCTGGTATCTGAAGACCTGGGCATGAGCGGCGAGCGCTCGTTAAACAACTCGTCTAGCCCAATGACCGGTACTGTCTGGCATGTCTGCTCAGTTTCAGTGTAGAGGGTCCGAACTCTGAGCTGCAGGCTGAAACGGAGGCCGTCTTTAAGTGTTGAGGGCCTGTTGGAACCACTCCCCTACCAGACCAAGTAAGGCTGATGATCTGTGTCTGACGACTCGACTGTCCTGGAGGTCAAACCCTCCCAAGGACCGGTACAGACCGGCAGGCTGCTCGGTGTGGCACAATAGGCTGGAAAGGCTGAGTTGTGGGCTGAAAGCACAGACAGAACCAAGCTGATTACGTCATCATGTCTGCGACGTTAAAGAATTCTTTAGGAGTTACGGGGGATCTCCTTAAATGCCTCCTGATCAGCCACTGGTTCAGTAGTGACAGCCATAGTATAGGTCTAGGCTAGAGATCCTAGTTGGCAGGATCCCTGTCAGGATTCTGTGAGTCATTAGATTGAGTCAATAGGTTTGTCAATCAGGGGTCAGAGTCCACGTGGTGAGGTTTGGAACCACTAACCTGGTTGTACGCTTATCACCATGGTTGAGACCCGTACTGGGTTAGAGACTAACTCCTACAGTAAGGAGCAGCAAGAAAAGATGGCCGCCTTAGTCCAAGAGAATAGGGAGAGGAAAGAACGTGAGAAGTAAGCGAAGCTAAAGGCTATCGCAGACGAGCAGGCGGCGAAGATGAAGAGGTTGGAGGAGGAGATGAAGAGAGTACAACAAGAGGAGGAAGAAAGAAGAAAAGTTGCTGAAGCAGAAGCGACAGCAGAAGAAGAGAAAGAGAGAATGAGAATTGAGAGTGGAGAAGGGAGCAGTGGTGGCACGATGAAGTGGGAGACAAATACTGAGCTGGAGAAGAAGATCAGCGAGTGGGTCGCTAATTTATCGTTGGGGGAAGACGAGGAGGCGGAGTCATATGTGACTAAGGATGAGAAGGCTGCGCTGGCCGCWGAGCTAGCAGCCATGACGGACCCAATGGAACGAAGAGAGAGGGAAGATGAGCAAAAGTTAGCATGGAAGCTGAGAATGAAGAGGGAGAAGAAGAGGAGGAGAGAGGAAGTGAATAAGATAACAGCAGCAGTGGCAAAGGTGCAGGAGTGTAGAGCGGAGGTGCTGGCCCAGCCAGATGATAAGGCCAAATGGGACAAGGTACTGGGCTACCTAGAAGTGTTGAGCAAGGCCTGGATGGAGGAGCGCCAGGCAAGCTGGAGCCAAGATGTAGCGTTGAGTGCCATGCGGTCTGGTTTCAGGGATTTTGCGAGCGAAATCGTCACCCACATTGGGGGCGAAGTCAAGCAGTTGAGGGACAATGTAGGGAAGTTTTGTGAGGGCGCCATTCAGGGTGCCAAAACTGCAGCCGCTGTGGAAGGAGAGGCCAGACCCCGTAAGGACCCAATAAAACTTAAGTTCCCAGATGCGTACGGGGGAAAGAAGGAAGAAAACTTTGACAACTGGGAAGCCAGTGTCAATAGTTACATTTATTTACAGCATATCCTGATGGAGGAGCAAGTCCTCGTGGCCTTCCAGGCCCCCTGAAGGACGAAGCGGCTAGCTTCGCTAGGTCTCTCGCGCGTACAGCCGGTTGTGAAAACAACCTGGTTGCATATTCTAAAGTCACCCCTCTTTCCCAATTCCTCAAGCTCCTTAAGGAGCGTTTCGCTGACCCAACGCGAGGCATTAGAGCTTCTGACAGGTTGCAAACGATCCACTCACGGCAGTGGAGGAGTGCCAGGGCACTCAAGGGTATCATGGACGACTTAGTGGCCGTACCAGACCATGGGGTCACTGAGACCCAGTTGGTCCAATTGTTTTATCGTGCCATACCAGAGGCCCTGCGCGGGCATTTCTTTGACAAATCTCAACAGGCCGGCATCACATATGATGCATTCAGTAGARAAGTCGTYCTGTATGAGTCAAAGTCTATGCCAGTTACCACCTTCTTGCACAAAGACTTGGAGAAAGGAAAAGGGTGGAAAGGGCGTACCATCTCTGGCCAAGTCAAGGCCAAGGATCATATGATCCTTACCTTAGAGGAAGGTGGTACAGACGAGGTTCCGTATAGTCAGATCGAGTGGGGCCTCGAGGATGATGGCAGTAGTGTGGGGCAAGGGAGGTCCTATGCTGCTGTCGCGGCTGGAGGGAAGCCGCAAGGTAGAGGAGGAGGCCAGGGCCAAAAGGGCCAGGCCATGGGAGGCCGTGGGCCGGGCGCACAGGGGGTTGGGGGACAGGGAAACCGCCAAGCGGGAGGTAGGGGTGAAGGTCCCCCGTTAAATCGCCAAGGTAATCGGTCCCCACAGCGAGGAGGTGGAAAGGCACCTCAAGGAGGATGGCACCCAGGCTTGCCACAGGGCAGGCCCTGGGAAGACTTGGGCTTGGACCGACAGATATGGCAGGAACGCGTGAACATGGGTCAGTGCGTATTTTGTGGTGACCCGACGCACGTAATAAAATTTTGTCCTAAGTATAGACAGGCCCGTTGGGCTGCCCAGCAGTCGAAAGGCAGCCGCCAGTAGGGGTTGCAACTGCCCCTACTTCAAGGTCATGTGGAGAAGTGAGCGCGCGCGAACAGGACACTCCCAACCCACATGAACCTATGGGAGAGGTTGCAGGCCCGTGCCTAGCTAGCTGTCCAGAGACCGCCTGTGTTAGCGTCTCTTTAGGCACGTCCCTCAAAGGTGTGGCAGGAGAGTTGAAGGAGAGAATGCCAGCCTGGGCCAAGATGAAGAAAGAGAGTAAAGGACAACTGATCTTGGTAGATGTAGAAGTCTTTAGAAGCAGAGTAGGGGCCCTCATAGACTCAGGGGCCACCTGCAGTTATATTAGCCTTAGGGCGCTGAAGAAGCTGAAGCTAGGATTAAAAGTCCAGAAATTGGCAGACCCCATAGTCAGTGTCCTCGCAGACAACCGCACGATGCGAGTGGAGGACTACGTAGAGGGAGTCCAAGCGTACTTTCGCCTAGGGAAGGATGGGAAAGTGGAGGAAGTTCTCCATTCTTTGACTCTCCTCGTACAGGATGACCTTCCTTTCAATAGTGTTAGGAATGGATTGGGGAGGCAGCAGGGGCCAAACTGCATTTGAGAGAGCATGAGTGTAGGCTCCCTAGTCCGTCAGGCGAGGTTAAGTCTGCCCCGCTTGTTCCATGTGTGTGGTGTAGATAACACCTTGGCACACTGCTGTCTCAGTGCTCCCGCATTCGCGCGATTAGTAAAAAAGGAGCAGTTAGAGGAACATGTCTTTGTAGTTTATGTTAGACCTGTCACTGAGGCCCAGGAAAAGGATAGTTCAACAGATCTAACAATTGCCAAGCTGCTGGAAGAGTTCAAAGATTTGACTGAGTCGCCGACAGGAGTAGTGTCGCGACCTATCCAGCACAGGATAGAGATAGAGCCTGGCAGTATAACTCCTAAGGGTGCAATCTACATGATGTCCCCTAGAGAGTTAGAGGAGCTTCGCAAGCAGTTAGACGAACTCCTTGAAAAGGGTTGGATCAGGCCCAGTTCGTCTCCTTTTGGAGCATCAGTCTTGGTTTCTTCCCAAGAAGGAAGGAGAGTTGAGAATGTGCATAGACTATAGGGGTTTGAATGTGATTACTGTAAAGAATGCTGAGCCGCTGCCCAGGATAGACGATCTCTTAGATAGGGTGCAGGGTTGCTAGTATTTCTCCAAAATAGACTTGAAGTCCGGATACCATCAGATAGAAGTCCATCCTGATGACAAGTACAAGACTGCGTTTCGGACTAGATACGGGCACTATGAGTTCATAGTGATGCCCTTTGGACTAACCAACATGCCAGCTACCTTCCAGCGTTGTATGAACGACCTGTTTAGACCATGGTTAGATAAGTTTGTAGTAGTCTATCTAGATGATATTCTCGTTTTTAGTAAGAACCTCCAAGAGCACCAGGGTCATCTGAGGCAGGTCTTGGAGAAGCTACGAGAGGCTAACCCCAAGATCAACGCAAAGAAGTGTGAGTGGGCCAAGACACAAGTTTTGTACTTGGGCCACGTGTTGGCTGGAGATGGCATTAAGCCAGAGGATAGCAAGATAGCGGCGATTAGAGACTGGCCGACGCCCCGCACATTGACAGAGTTGCGGTCGTTCCTAGGCTTAGCTAACTACTACAGGAAGTTCGTGAGGAACTTCTCCACTATCGCTGCCCCCTTGGGCAGACTGCTAAAGAAAGAGGCAATCTGGCAATGGGACAAAGACTGTACGTCTGCGCTCAAGAAGTTAAAGCGCACGTTAATAGAATATCCTGTCCTCAAAGTAGCAGATCCGTCCTTGCCATTTGTCGTTACCACGGACGGAAGTCAGTATGGGATAGGCGCCGTGTTGCAGCAAGACGACGACAATGGCTATAGACCCGTAGAGTTCATGTCAGCGAGGATGCCCTGTGAGAAGGTTGCTACCTCCACGTACGAGAGGGAACTCTACGCTCTCAGGCAGGCTTTAGACCATTGGAAGCACTATCTGCTTGGGAGGCACTTCAAAGTGTATTCTGACCATGAGACACTTCATTGGCTAAAGACACAGGCCAAAATTACACCTAAGTTGACTAGGTGGGCCGCAGAGATAGACCAATTCGACTTTGAGCTCAAGCCAGTAAAGGGCAAATACAACGTAGTTGCGGATGCTCTGAGTAGGAGATCAGACTACTTTGGAGCCGTAGTACACTATCTGGATATAGGGAGAGACCTGCAGGAGAAAGTGAAGCAAGCATATGCGCAGGACCCTATCTATAGTGACCTCCTAAAGAGAGTTAGAGAGGCCCCAGAGACTGAACCAGATTACCGCACTACAGACGGGTTGCTGTTTGAGAAGACTAATGTGTTTGACCGCCTGTGCGTCCCCAATAGCGAAGAGATCCGCAGTTTGATTTTAGGGGAATGCCACGATACTGAAGGGCATTTCGGTTGGCAAAAGACATTAGCCAACCTGATGCGTGCGTATACCTGGMCAGGGATGAAGAMYGACTGCWYAGAGTATGTCCGCAGTTGTAAAGTGTGCCAGAGGAATAAGTCTACTACACGCGCGCCCCTAGGTCTTCTCAGACCCTTGCCTATTCCAGATCAGCCGGGAGACTCAGTGTCCATAGACTTCATGGACACGCAAGTCAAGAGCAGACATGGTAAGAGCCAAGTCATGGTCATAGTCGACCGTTTTAGTAAGTATGCAGTTTTTGTTCCTTTGCCTGCAGAGGCACGTACAGATTTAGTAATAGAGAAGTTCTTTGACTTTTGGGTTAGTGAGAATGGAATCCCATTGTCAATAGTTAGTGATAGAGATACTCGTTTCACCAGCCAGAACTGGCAAGAACTCATGAGAGTCTACGGATCTAAGTTGTTAATGCCGTCCGGCCGTCACCCAGAAACTAACGGTCAGACAGAACAGATGAACAAGATCCTACAGCAAGTTCTGCGCATGTACATTAGACCAGATCAGATTAACTGGGATGAGATGTTGCCTAAGGTAGCTAGTGCATACAACAACAGCGTGCATCTATCCACCTGCCGCACTCCCAATGAGTTGCACAAGTCCTTTAGACCGCGCAGACCGTTCGAAGGACTGAACCGGGATCAGATTCACAGATTACCGCCCGGTACCAGGGAATTTGCGATACAGCACGAAAAGGAGCTAGCCACTGTTGTAGAGAACCTTCGGAAGGCCCAGCACAGAATGATAGAGCAGGCTAACAAGCACCGTCGCCCATCACAGTTTCAAGTAGGCGACTTAGTCTGGGTCAAAGCAAAAGAGTTTGCACCGGAAGAAAACATCTCGCAGAAGTTACTGCCTGCATATAGAGGACCGTGGCCGGTTCTAGAAGTCAAGGGCGGAGAGGATGGACCGTCCTACAGCATTGAGATTCCAGCACACCTCCACACATACCCTGTGTTTCATGCTTCAAAGCTGCTGCCGTGTGTCACAAGTCAACAGTTCCCTTCCAGGAGATCCATGATCCCACCGGATATGGATGGAAGCTATGACATAGAGGGCATTGTAGATGAGGATGTGTTTAGGACAGGAGGTAGAGGTCGTCCCCAGAAACAATATAAAGTCCGGTTTGCCTATCAGGAACCAGAAGACGACCGCTGGTTCACGAAAGCAGAACTTCTAGAGACTGCTCCCGACATAGTCAGAGCCTATGAGCGTGACAAGAAAGGTAAAGGAACCGGAAGACGACCGCTGGTTCACGAAAGCAGAACTTCTAGAGACTGCTCCCGACATAGTCAGAGCCTATGAGCGTGACAAGAAAGGTAAAGGTCCCGCCTTGGACTGAAATCTTCTCGGAGGATCTCGAATTTAGGACGGCGGGAGTGAAACGGTTTTCACCTTTTAGCATTAGCGGATGCAGTACCCAGGGTTCGATCCCTAGACCTCACCCTACCCATGTACWGTATCTGTGTAGACCCCGAGAATTGAACCTGTGACCTGTGTATTCGTAGGCAGTTGGTAGGCCTGTCGTAGGTCCATAGGCAGCAGGGGTTCGATCTGTAGGTCTATAGCGTAGGAGTCTTAGTGAGTTCCGGAAGCTTAG